AACGCCCCTTAGCTGTTATAAATTCACTGTAAACCATGGCTTCTTGGGGCTTATTGCTTTAATATATTACTTATTTACCCAGCACATTTTTTATTTTGGTCGTGCATGTGCACCCCTGTAAATAAAAACAGTTTTATTGGGAATTTGGCTGTATTAAAGTACAGTATGTCAGGAGGAGAGAAGCAAACAAATGTAAAAGGCTGACACTAGGCAGAATGTACACGACTGTATATAATTAGCGTATGGCGTCATCGTAGTGACATTTAGCAACTTTTCAAGCAGACTTTAGCTGCTTCCATTGACTACATTTAGTAACAGTGGTTTAGTCTGTGGTCATAATCTATGACGTGACCTAACTGACACATCAAGGTAAATGTGTGTATTTGTGTATTTCGGGACCCGTCGGGCTCGGGTCGGGTAGCAGACCTCTAATTTGTTGTCTTACTTTCGGTTCTGTCAGCCAGCAGCTTCTCATCAGACAGGCGAAACTGGCCGGGCAGCTACTGGGAATCGTCAGCCTCTGCAAAACACACATGAAACATGTCATAAACCACAGTCACAACTGCTGCAGACACTTAATCAGTCACTCGGCCGAGAGAAACTCCCTTTACCTCGCTCTTCTCCACCACCAGCCAGGCCACCTGCAGCCCCTCCAGACCTTTGAAGGGAACTTCACGAGTCAGCATCTCCCACAGGACCTGAAAGAAACCCACGTGTTATTCACAGCTATATGATACAGATCTGTGCCAACAGACCCAATGCATCGACCAACTGACTACACAGTGCAACCACACACTCCAAAAAAAAAAAACGATACATTTTTACAGCCAAATGTATTAGTTTTTCTCAAATTATATTGATGGTTGATGGTATTTTGATTTACCTTAATAATTTGATTTATTTAATAAAACATTTTATTTCCCTAAAACCAAAAAAACATTTATGCAAAGTAAGAAGATTATTTATTGTAAAGACCATATAACATACTTAATCAATATACTGCATTTTCTTCAGTCATAAGCCAAAATATGGCTCAATATAATATTTTCGGCTTTTTACAACTTTTACAAACAAAAACAAAGGCTAAATTAGCGATAATATGTCAAACTAAAAACATGTTAATTAATGTTTAATTTAGATCACTTACTAAGTAAAGACAATATATGTCCTTAATGTTTATTGAGATGTCTTTTTTTATATGCATCACATTTTATGTCATGGACTATCAAAATAATAATGATAATAATATTAGTGCTGTCAAATGATTAATCGCGATTAATTGCATCCAAAATAAAAGTTTTTGTTTACATAATGTATGTGCGTGTACTGTGTATATTTATTATGTATACGCATGTATATATTTAAGCAAAATATGTTATTTTTGGATGCGATTAATCGCGATTAATCGTTTGACAGCACTAAATAATAATAATACATTTTTTAAAAGATATGTAGTATGTGTTCTGCACATCAACAGTCTGGTGTTTTGACTGAGTTTTGATTTAAATCAATAAATGACAAAGTCGTTGTAACTTTTTTCAGTGCGAGCAGCCAGAAGCATTGTCGTTGATGTTCACACACTCACCACTCCGTACGAGTATGTGTCGCAGGTCTCAGACACTGGGAGGCTCTGGATGACTTCAGGGGCCATCCAGGGAAACGTGCCCACCAGAGACATGTGGGTGGTGTGAGACTGAAACTTAGACGCCCCGAAATCACAGATCTGAGGACATGGAGAATCCAATTAATCAGCAGATTAAGGGTTACTTTTTCATGTTTAACTAATAAAAGACAGCCTGAATCTTTATGTATGAACAGACAGTCATCATGTACCTTGAGTACTGAATCTGCTGTCAACACAACTGGAATGAAAACACAAGTTGACCAGGTCAGAGAAAATACAGCATCAAAAATACACATACGGCCTTTATTTTTATTTTTTATTTTTTTTTACAAAAGTTACCAGTGTTGGGAACGTCACTTTGGAAATGTAATATGTTACAGATTACAAGTTACCTTATTCAAAATGTAATAAGTAGTGCAACTATTTCAATTACTTTATTAAAGTAATATACCTGATTACATTGGATTACTTTTTGATTACTTTTCTACATTTCTAACAAATGTTTTCAACTGTTAATCATTTTCAAACATTTAAAGCAGGCAGAGTTAACCTTACAGTAGTGCTACTCAACACTGATTACTGTCAGACTTTCAAAATCCTTCTTCACTTGAATTAAGATTATAAAAATTTAATTTTACACAAGTTTTCTCCGTAACTGACATTGATTAGTTACACTTTATTTTAAGGTGTCCTTGTTACAGTGTAATTATACATTTAAGTACTAAGTAATATTAATTGACTTGTGCACTTTATATGTGGTTAGGGTTAGGATTAGGGGTTACTTGCATGTAATTATGCATAATTTATTGTTATTATAATAGTAAGTACATGTAACATGTGTAACAAGGACACCTTAAAATAAAGTGTTACCCAGTTACATTTATTTTGTAATTAAATTATGTAATTCCGTTACATGTAACTAATTATTCCACAAACCATTTCGGGACTTGAGGTCTCTGTGAATGACTGTTAACGGGGCCTCGGCGTGCAGATAATGCATGCCTATGAGAGAAAACACACAAAATGAGAAAGAGCAGAGTTTGATTTTGTAATGGTAATCATTAAAACAACAACATCTGTTGCTACCCATGTTTCTCAGTGTATATAAACACACAGTAAGTGTGCTTAGAGTAGTGCACTTACAATGGAGGCCACATTTAAACGCAGAAATGTGAAGCTTGTATTTTTGTTAGTGTGCTTATGACCTTTTCCAAACTTGTGGTTAAACATTATGCTCTCAATTCTTGTCTGGTGTCGTTTGATCCATGCAAACAGTGATTTATGAATACAGACTGAAAGCAAATGGGTCCATTTCTAGCAGATTTGACTGATTAGATATAACTTTTGCACAGACAAGATTGGTCACTGATTATATCACACCAGTGTCATACTACCATGTGTAATGTAAACCCAAACAAGGCAACATATTTCACACGAGTATGTGAAGGCAAATGTCAGAGCGCACGCAGTTCATGCGTCAAATTCTCAGTGCCAGTGTTCTCAGATTCTCAAATTCTCAGTCTTCAAGAGGCACAAACATGAATGTAAACAGTTTGTTTCCTCTTACAGGTCAAGTCCGGTCAGAGAAACAGCCATGCTGGCCTTCACTAGTTCAAAACCCAAAAAGCACCAAAAACCCACTAAAATTAATTAATTAATCAGGGGGCGGTGGATATTTGTGGCGGTCAATGTGGATATTGTGGATGAGTTCTTCTGTGTCATCACGTTCTATTAGTTCTACAGCTTCAGTTTCGGAACTTTCACGCTTAGTAACACATACAGCTGTTCCCTCACCACAGTGCAACAGTGAAAAGGGACCCCTTTCAAACAGTGTCGCGTTCCGAACGTTGTTTAAGCGACATACACCGGTATTGCAGAATTTTAAAAATTCATATCATAACAAAAATAAACACCGGCATTCGGTATGAACCGGTATACCGCCCAGCACTACTTCCACTGTAAGTGTGTTTTGTTGTGCATTCAATCTCTCTTTTTTTGTATATATAACACCTTTAGCGATGTCCATTGCCCAGGTCATAATCTGCTTCATACTGATGTCTTCACTCTCAGCGCTGGACAGATAGTCGAACAGAGATCCACCGCTGGCGTACTCTACCATAACACAAACACACACACGTACAGAATGTAAATTAAAATGCAAAAAACCTCTATGAAAACTAGTAAATCTTGTATTGGGCAGTAGTTTTACATACACTGCTGTGGGGCATCATGTACTACAGTACTAGTATTAGTTGTCATCAAGTACTGTGCCATATCCTGTTCTGAGCTCAATGACATCTTCTAAAATAATCTGGAAAATTCTAACGCCGCATAAGATTACATGTAATCAGTTATATATGCAAACACCAACAAACACTCACATCTACGGCACACAGGACAGGAGGAAACACAACTGTAATGTAACATATTTGCATGGCATAGTACGTGTTTAAAGGCATCAGGCAACAGATCATAAGTTAAAATATTAAATATTAAAATCATTTCAAACTCTGACACCACGGTTTGCTGAAAAAACAAACATATCAGAGCTCTCTTAGCTATGGACTTTGACCCCCTTTCAAGACACACCTAATTTTAGAGTTATTTCATCATAAATTCAACATTATTGACAACAGAGGAGAGGCATCTTTATCTCCTCTTGCAACGAACTGATGTGCAGCTCTCTCAGTAATAAATATTTTCAATAATTTTGGTAAAAAAAAAATTTAATTTTTTATAACCCTGTGATACAAAGCTGAATTTTTAGTAGTATTTACTCCAGTCCTCAGTGTCACATGGTCCTTCAGAAGGCATTCTAATATACTGATTAACTTGTATCTTATTATTATCAATGTTGTTATTATTATCAATATTTGTGTGTGATAAATGTAACTTTTGGTCAATTAAATACAATCTTGCTGATTTGTTTTTTTCCAGAAATAATAATATATTATATATATTTCCTTAACAGCAAAGGGTCTGAATACTTAGGATCATGTGATATTTCAGTTTTTCTTTTTTAATAAATCTGCAAAAATGTCAACAATTCTGTGTTTTTCTGTCAATATGGGGTGCTGTGTGTACATTAATGAGGAAAAAAAATTTACTTAAATGATTTTAGCAAATGGCTGCAATATAACAAAGAGTGAAAAATTTAAGGGGGTCTGAATACTTTCCGTACCCACTGTATATATATATTAGTGCTGTCAAACGATTAATCGCATAAAAAATAAAAGTTTTTGTTTACATAATAAATGTATGTGTATATTTAATATGTCTATATATAAATACACACACATGCATGTATATATTTCAGGAAAAATTTTTATGTATATATAATAAATATATTTATTTATAATATAAATTATATGAATATAAATATAGACGTAAATACATGTAAATATTTTCAAAATACATACTGTATGTGTGTGTGTGTGTATTTATATATATACGTAATAAATATACACAGAACACACACATACAGTATATTATGCAAACAAAAACATTTATTTTGGATACGATTAATCGCGATTAATCGTTTGACAGCACTAATATATATATATATATACACACATAGTGTTCCCAAAAGAATGCGAACTACTCAAATATAGACGCATGCCTCTAACGTATGACTGCAGACTGCATCTGTTAATATTCATGAATACTGTATGTTTAGCTTTGCTCTAGGTCACTCTGAGTACACATCATCATATAATGGTCAGATTATCAGGTTCAAACAGAGATACGCACAGAGAGGGGAAATTAATAGCCTCACTGACAAGGCTGAGCTGGTCATAAACAGCACCTTGACCTGCTCTTATTACGTTTACTTTTCATAAAGAGAGACTCAATAGTCTCTCAGTACTGCAGACCAAAGACTCTTTACACAGCACTTTATGATCGTTTACAATCACTGCAGATTCATTTGAGTCACACTCACTCAGCACAGCAGAACCAAACCATGACAGAGATTTGAGTTTGACATGCACTGAATGTCATGAAGAAACAGCATTACAAAAATCTAGCTCATAAGACCTGACTAGGGCTGTCAAATAAAAATTGGAATTTCGAATATTCGTCGAATTTAAAATAAAATTCCACATTCGAAAGCAAAAACGTTGCATTCGAATTTTAAGGAGGCAGCCTTATCAGTGGCGCACAAGATGCGATGACGATGTAAGTGTCGTTGCTTTATAATGCTTTTGTTAGCCTATCCAGTTGAAGCCACTAGAAAGAAGCGCTGCTGCTTTGTTCATTAAAAATATTGCGGAAAAAGAGAACATCAATGCTGAGAAGATCTTGTTTACATCAAAACTGAAACCAAGCCGTTCACACAGAACACATATTTCGCACATTTTCTAGAGGGACATCTATCAGCGTTGCACTCGCATCTCGCACAAAAGAGCCGCATGTTTAGAAAGCCATGTAAAATTAATGCAAGTTTAACTTTGAAAAAAAAAAACATATATCGAGACTTTATGGGGGGTTTTTTTAAAATGAAAAATGTCCTCTGTGTG